TTTTACACAGGTGACAGTTGTATGCAATTCAATAATATTGAACAAAACCTTGCTTATCTTTTAGATTAATACTAAACATCAGTTGCCATGCAATCCAATGGTTTTACACAGGTGACAGTTGTATGCAATTCAACAATATTGAACAAAACCTTGCTTATCTTTTAGATTAATACTAAACAAGTTGCCATTTTAGTACAAGACATTTTTAAGGTCTGCTGCGCTCACAGGCTGCAAGTTTTAGTTTTCACTTCTGGAGTTTAATTTTATGAATACACCTCTACCATAGATCCAATTCGAGTACGACATAGAGGACAGACTCTTCTATTCCAGTTAACAATACTCGTAATATGATTAGCACACATGACACATATGCACATGTGTCGACATGGTAACAAGAGAATCTTTTTCACTTCATCTTGACAAACAACACACAAAGTCTTGTCTCTTTCAAGTTCCAGTTGACGTTGCAAACGTTCTTCATTTCCAGGTGTGAAATTAGAGCTTTGTCTGCTATTGTCAATGACTGTTTGTTGATTATTCACTGATCTTATCATTAATAGTGACACATACTGGATTAAGGATTCCAAGAAGCCAAAGACAAGAATAAATATATTGATTTTTAAAACCATTGTAATGGAAATAACAATTAGAAGCATGCATGACATGCTTATAACCAATACTTTACTTGCTTTGATGCTTGGGATAAGCTGAGTGCCTATATCTGTAATGTTTCTAGCCATGTAATTAACRAACCTTCCAAGAGCTATGAAAGTGTTCAATGCAAATCTGCCAAAGTGTCTAACAAACAATCCAATTGTCTTCAAAATTGACATTATGACATCACAGAACATTGAAAAGATAGCTTGAATAAACTGCAATACTCCATAGTATGAAGATTTCGCATATGCAAAAATAATCGAGCAACACGTTTTAATAGCAGCCCATATCCTTTGAAACAAATGTATCATACTTTGGCTTATTCTGAATGTAAGGGATATGATATTCTTACCAACGAACTGGAAAAAGTGAACACACGATAGGATACCAGTATACAGCAGATCGATTACCACTTTAAAAGTGTTCAATATCGATGTGCCAAACAATTCAACAACTGCTTTAATTACGGATACGATAGTACGAAACGTTGAATTCGTCTTCTGTGTTACAGATCCTGCCATTTTGGCTGTCGTTCGAAGGCCAGTTTCTGTAAATTCAAACAGTTTTGGCATGTTGAATACTATGTGATGTAAAAAGTTAACAACCGTTTTAATTAGCGATAGGAAAGTTCTTGCAGTAGATACAAGCAGATCTCTAAGGAATACGTATGAGTTTTGAACGATGAATCGCATTCTCGTAACGAAAGACGACACGAAGTTGTAGTTAGCTTGTAGAACAAGCCGAACAAGGTACCCAAGGAACTCAATGAGTTTGATGAACTGATGCAAAAGGCTGAACATTGTGGCCACAAAGTAGGTCAAAGTTAATACTACTGTATTGATAATCAAGTAAATGAAAGAAAGAATACTGCGAAGTAGCCATGGGATCCAAGTGATGATATCTGTCAGCCATCTCAAGCCTGTATGTTCTTTACTCAACTCCTTGTGTTGAACGCTGTTGGAACCTGGATTAATTGAGAACGTCACTAGCACAAAGGACAGCAAAAATAAGTAAATGAGCATGGAATTCATCATCTTGCAAGCATTATTGCAAACCTCTCAACCTCAGCTCCAGACAGCTACAGGTATAAACTCTAGTGTTGTTTGTTTCACTGCAATAAAGCGTCGATTAGGAGCCCGCGATACTAGGGAACAGCTGATACAATAACACAGGGAACCCGTCTGCGTCATATTTGTTTTCGTTGAACAAATCGAATCATCAGTTATTTATATAGAACGACATTACTACATCTGCGGAAAGGAGTGTTCTAAACAATTCACGATGGCCGAGCTTGCGGTGGTTAAAGTGTCTCTCAAACTTGTGTGGGCTTTGGTTGCAAATCGAGCAATAAAAAGCTTGGAACATGGTGACTTAGCAGATGAGAAGCTACGTCAACTCCTTCTGAGTGAATTCAGGAAAATACATGAGGAATTGAATGTTCTCCGAAGAAAAGAGCTTATAGCAGCCGTAGCATTCATGGAAAATGGATATGAATTGCTGAAGAATGACAGTATAGAAGCAAAGAGAGAGTTTACTAAAGCTAGGGATGCAGCTCAAGTTGCATTTGGTGTTGTTAAAGAAGTACAAGATAAAATCCTTGCTGCCAAAATAATGGTGTCTTCAGCACTTCATGAGTTTGATGATAAACCGGAAACTGCTGCCTCACTGTGCTTAAAATACGTTTCTCGTTTGAATAATCTACCAGAGATTTTAAACTCTTGTCAAGTGCTGTTAGGACAGAAGTTTGGCAGCATACTTCGCACTTTCTCCAGCTCTTCAAACCGCCAACAGTGTATTGGCTTGGTTTCTGAAGTTAATCGTTGTGTTTGGCAGTTCATTCAACTTCAATTACCTGACTTATTGCAGGAAAAGAAATGGCCAAGTATTGCAGTAGGAAGCCATGAGATAGATCCCATCACAGATTTCCTTCTACTGCGCAGAGTCAGTTCTGACTGTATCTATCTGCCTTCAAATGTCCAAAGCCCTGTCATGATGGTAACTGCCAACAACAAACTGTTTTTGGTGGAGGCACAAGTAGCAACCACTGCTGATGATGATCCACTTCTTGTCAACTCTTTAAAGGCCCTGGACTTGGAGGATGGTTCAATAACCAATCTTGTTGGTCACTCTGGCGTGATACTAACTATAGCAAAGTTCAAAGATGAGACACGTGTTGTCACAGGATCAATGGATAAACAGATAATATTATGGGATACCAATACATTAAAGTGCTGTCAAATTCTATCAGAACACTGTGGATCTATCAGATCTGTTGTGTTGAATGACACACACATATTTTCAGGATCCACAGATAGTTTAGTTAAAGTGTGGAGCAAGGATACGTATGAATCAGTCCATACACTTGAAGGACATGTAGGTCCAATCAGTAGTCTTGCAGTTTCTAATCGGCACCTGTTCTCATGTGCAGTAGGTGATGGCATCAGATACTGGGACCTTAAGAAATGGGAGTGCTTGCATAGTATTAGTCTAACAGAAAATGTCTTCAGTATGTACATTGTAACAAATTCATTGATAATTCATTACCATGGCACGTTACAGTTCATCAAACTTGGTAATTTAAAAGAACATGGTAAAATGTCTCAGGTTGGAAACTCATCAGTATTGACTGGCAAAGCTGTTTGTTGTAGTTCAGGATCAGAACTGAAATCCATTAATGTTTCTCTGTTAAAATGTACCTGCTCAAGTAACTTGAGCCAGTCATGTCAAAAGGAATACACTGTTAATTGTATGTGCTATGATGACATCTCTGCTAGACTTTTTGTAGCTTGTACAGACACTTCTAAAAGAGCAGGTGTAATTGTTACAATATAAAGATGTATTTAGAGTGCATACCATAATTCCTTTAAAATGTTTGTAAGAAATCAAGTTCAAGTTCAAGTTTACAAAAGAGTGTCTATATTTACAAAATTTTATCACAGATTTGAAAAAATTGGTAAGTTCAGTAGACCTTAGTAGACGGTAAACCTACAAAACTTAGCACTAATTCGCACAATTTTATTAGTTAACTTTTTCACTGACGATGATGATTTATATACACCCTTTCTATATGGATATAATCAAAGTAAGGCACTTTGCATTGGGATTCTGTTAAATGTGACCCAGTAAACATGCATAGAAGTTCTCCTTTCTTGAAAATGCAAAAGGGCATAGTTTAAGTCTTGATTAACCAATCATAAGCTGCCTGACAATTAGATAAATTCAAAATTATTATTGGTTCTTTCAATTTCACTGTACTAAGCTGCATCCTTATCATTCAAATAGTGCAAAGATTGAAGCAATGAGGAAATAAGACAAAGCATCTAACTAGATAAACAACAGTGGGGAGAGTAACTACAAATAGGGGGAGTTGCTAATCTATATGCACTAAATAAGGGGTAGCTGTGTAAGTTCTGTAAGCATGTAGAAAAATAATGTGCTTCTAAATTATAAAATATTTACATGATAAATGCAGGCATCGCATTAGATAAAGTATGCCCTGTTATAAAGTAGTGATTTATTTACTGATATCAAGAATTGAAATTGTCAAAGGAGTATTGAAACGATTTGCAATTTAGAACTATGACAATAAAGACAACTGTCACACAATATTAGTTAGCATGTCACACAATATATGCCCTCTTTTTTGCTTCAAAAGACTTGCAATTTTTCAAGGAATGCAGCTAGTGCGTTCATTTTCTATATTTACGCAATTATTATCTTTTTTAATGTTATCCTAGTTATTAAACTCCGCGTTGCTATGACTAAATAAATGGGRAAAAAAGCTTAGAACGATATTATAGCCAGGATTGGTTTCCGGTGTGACGTCACTTGAAGGCAACGTGGCAGTATATCATAGCGTATTATGATAATACTGTTCCTTTTGGCCGCCATTTGCAATCATCAAAGGCAGGTTGTAGACGAAGATTCAGTTAAAATGGCGAGGCAGGCTGGCGGATTTCAGTATAATGAATATCTCAGTAAAGCAGAAGATGTTGCTGATCAAGTTCTTCGCCATGGAAAGCACGTTTTACCCCATGTAGCTCGTTTCTGTCTTATTTCGACGTTCTTTGAAGACGGTATTCGAATGTGGTTTCAGTGGGGCGAACAAAGAGACTACATCGAACAGACTTGGCATTGTGGAACAGTTCTTAGTGTCCTCTTTGTCATTTTTAACTTGTTTGCACAAATTGGTGGCTGCCTAATGATTCTCAGCCGTCAGAAAGTGGAATATGCTGTAGGAGTTCTTTTCTCTGTTGTACTGATTCAGGTTAGTAAGTTAGAAGAATAATAAGCAAGTCATCCGGATCAAAAACCAGTACTAGTATCGATTGCACTTTCTTCATCACACCACCAACTCTTAGATTTTGTGTTGTTGTTTTTTGGTTCATTTTAAATAAGTATCTTCAAAAAACGTTGTATCATGGATTTATGGAATAAGCTTATATTTCTAAAACTATCCTAAGATTTTATTTTGTTGGTTGATTCTAAACGTGTACGTGTACAAATCAAAGTAAGCCTAATTTAAGGTACCATGCATTATAAGGAAATTTAACATGCAATAAAATTTCTTTAAGTTATCCAGTATAAGGGTTTCGAAACTAGTATCTAACTATACGTCGGGTATATTTATATATATATTAACAGACGAAACCGTATACAGTGATATATCCTGTATTACTAAATCATGTAGTCTGCTTATGATTGAATACCTTTTGTTTACAGACTGTTGGTTATAGCATATTGTGGGATTTCAAGTTCTTGTTACGGTAAGTTAAAACAAAGAATGCAAAGAATAACCTTGGTTATCCAAGAAGATTTATATACGTTTTTATTRGGCCTTTGTTTTTATTTTTGCACTCCCAGTTTAATGAGGTGTTCCTGAGGAAATCTTGAGGAAATCTATGCATGGGAGACGCATGGGATCGAAAAAGGGGAATAAAAGACACCAGGTTGAACAGTTTTAATACGGTCTTATTGCATGAATATAATAAACAGGTCCATTTTTAATCTTGGGGAAACTTTTTATTACAAGAGATATAGAAATATTCATGTCAATTTACTACCAGTAGTAATAATGCTATTTAGTATAATTTTAGGCTGGAATATAAAGCTTTATGTTCTCTGATTGGTTAAGCTCCCAGTGATTCTGAAATAATGATCACTGCTCAAGAGGTGATTATGAGGTTTTCCAAAGTTTGCCTAGCACGGAATTAATACTAAAACATTTTTTATCCCAAATTTAGTCTTTTCTCTGATATTCAAGTCTAAAATTATACCAAAACAACTATTCCCCTCAGGCTCAGTGATTGTAATGAACATTTACCTTGCTGCTTGAATACTCATGGCTCAGTAAATATTCTACGATAATCATTTACCTTCAACGAATAATTAAATATCCCTGTATGCAGATCACAAGTCCTATAGCAAAATTCCTTGCATTTCAGCTTGGCCTTTCAGGAAAAATTCAATTCAATTTACTAAGGTGGATAGCATTCATCTTATTTTGTCACACATTGCGCTAATAAGTACAGATTTTTAATAGCGCAGCACAACCGTGACGTCATAAAAACAAAGACAAAGGCAAAATTTGAACAAACAAACTTACGAGTTTACTTTCTGCAGATAATTTGATCTTAGTTTACATGGGTTATTATTGTAACTTTAAGTAAAAATAATAAAATCGGTGCATATAATCCTTGCAGCGGTTAAACAGAATGCAATGTTTGTCCGAATCTTTAAGCTATTTTTAGAATCAATGCGCTGCGCTATTCATTTGTTAATTTTCTGATTAAGAAGCACTTTTGGTCTTTGAGGAATTGGTGCTACAGTACATAAATAAATTATTATTACTATTATTAGTAGTAGTATAACATTAAACATCACTCTATATGTTTTTATGTATTTTGTGATCAAAAGAGATGAAAAAATCCATGTTAATCATAATAGTAATGTATGTTAGGTCCCATACATGTAGGCAGACCAGTGGATGACTTTCAAGTGGCTTGTTAGGAAAGAATAGCCAACTTTTGATATTCTGATTGATGCCCTCCCACATGGTGTAGTTTTGCATTTGGTCAACACCATGTGCAACATTGCTGGCAATCATGTGATGTTTATAGCCAATGCAACATTTTCATATGCTGCTGGCTAGAATTCAATGTCTGTGATGGCGGGTCACTTTCCTCTATTTAAAATTTTGTGGCAGATTGTTTGTGACATCCCTTAATGTGCTTATAAGCTTTTATACATTATTTTATTATTAATTGATTCTTTAGACAGTGACTACTTTGTGGAAATCTTATTTCATTTGAGGGTCATGTTTTTAATTTATTTATAATTTTTTAAATTTATTTAGAATTTATATGTTAATAACTATGTTGTAACTTGAGTTATTTTGTGGTAACCTTTTAATACTGAAGTTTTTGAGTAACAAATTTCGTTAAGTAAGCTCGATGTCAGTATTTTAAAATTATTTTACAGAAACCTTGCTCTTTGTGGAGGTCTGTTGTTGCTGTTGGCAGAAGCCCGATCAGAACAGAGAAGCCTCTTTGCTGGTGTACCCAGTGTTGGTGGTAACTCCCCCAAAACATACCTTCAGCTTACTGGCCGTGTCCTGCTTGTCTTCATGTTCGCAACCCTTATTAAATTTCAGTTTGTGTTTTCATATCTTTTACTAGATATTGCTGGTACTATTTTAATGATCTTAGTTGGAATCGGCTACAAGACCAAGCTAGCATCATTGGTTCTTGTTGTATTTCTTTCCCTTCTCAATGTTTATTTGAATCCTTTCTGGGTCTTTGATTCCAACTCTCCCATGAGAGATTTCTTGAAGTATGATTTTTTCCAGACCATGTCTGTTATTGGTGGCTTATTGCTGGTTGTTGCTTTAGGCCCAGGAGGTGTAAGCGTTGATGACTACAAGAAAAAATGGTGAAGTAAAAATCCATTCTTAACTCACTTCTACTATGTATGTACCTGTAGATTACTAAAAATGGTATTTATGTTGTGATAAGTCAAATATGTCTGTAACATTTTTTTTGTATCCATCATTAAGACAGTAGTATTTGACAGTGAACATCAATATCCATGTACAGGTACATCGATCCATTAGAAACTGAACCTAAAGAGTCCATTCATAGTTCCGACATTGCTGCAGTTTTCCCAGTGGAATCAAAATCTTGTCCCACAAACAACCACACATTTGTTTTGAAGAGTACTACAAGGATTACGCTGTACAAGCCAATTTTATTTTATTTTCTCAGGACATGAAACGTTGTGGCAATTTATGATTTATTTTTCTCAATCAGAGGTTTTAAACTCTAATATGTTCTATCTAATTCGTTGAGCTTGTGGGACATAGCAATGATAACTAAGGGAATTCGGAACTATGAATTAGTATAATTATGAATTACATAGTATAATTCTCAGATTTTACATGAGACTTGTTAGGATTTTGAAAACTATAACTTACGCTAGACTCTCTATCTACCAGTCAATGTTACAAGAGTTGTCTCTGATGTATTACAACACACCTTACAATATAAATAGACATGTAAACATACAAAAGCAGAATAAAAGTTATCGTATTCCTGACTAATATTGTTTGAAAAGTTGTGAAATAGAGATTTAAGGAAAGATTAAAAGAATTTAAATTATCAGACTCTTTGAGTTTTTGATGCCGACTGCTGGGGGTGACCCTCTTATGGACCTTTGCTAAAATGGCAGATTAAAATTAATTAAAATATTAAAAATTATTGTTACAATGGAAGTCTTTTAAATAAAATGGGCATGTTTTGAAATTATTAAAAATTCTTGACAAGATAGAATTTTCAAACTTTGGACTTTCTGTTGATATTTAGTTAAAAAGCGTGGAACAAAACTGAGGTATATTACATAAGTAATGAACTTTCCATGTAAGGGAGTCTGAACTTATGGTGGATTCCGGATTCCAAGCGCTGGATTCCGGATTCTGAGACTCTGGATTACGGATTCCAAAACTTTTGTATTGTGGATTCCGGATTCCATATCGTTAATTTTCAGATACTTTCTCTAAAAATTATATTTGATATACTTGCCCGTATAACTAGGAAGGTGTCCCTGGTTCAGTCTAGGTCAAGGCGATAGCATTTGAGTGTAGACTTTGAATTTCAAAGTAGTGGATTCTGGATGCCATTATAAACTGGATTCTGGATTCCAAAGCCTAAAATTTTTTGGATTTCGGATTCCCTTACATGGGGCAAAACTTTCCTAAAATATTTGTATTGAAGTATTCTTCTGACAGCACAGGTATCCCAAGCTCGATTTTAGTGTCCATCGAATTACAGTAAATGTATGGAGTTTGTTACACCAGATTTCAAAATAGTGCGAACTCTCGGGATTTCCAGTTTCGGTCGATCTTCGACACTCGACCGACATCACTCGACGGCTTGGTAACCAGGCTAACCAGGCGGGTTACATATCTATCAATGGCAGTCATGACGAAAACCAAACTCGGGAACTGATCATGAAAGATATAAAT